AAAAAAAAAAAGAAGAGTTCCAAAAAACGATATCCAGTATTATCCACCAAAAATATGAGCATTGTCAATTTGTCAGGCCCTGTCTCAGTCGGCGGCCACTGTGAGCTCCACCCCTGTCTCACGTGTAGAATGCCGTCTTATCCCTTGCCTAGTTGAACCGTGCTCCTGGGTCCGGTTCCCAGCCTATAATGAATTAAAAGAAGAAGAAGGAGAAGAAAAAGGAGAAGAAGGAGAGTAATAGTAATCATAAATGATAAATCATATAACAATAAATTAAGAATAAGAAGAAGAAGAAGAAGAAGAAGAAGAAGAAGAAGAAGAAGAAGAAGAAGAAGAAAGGCTAAATCTAGTTTGGACTCTCGAGTCTTTGGACTCGGTGATCTGATCCTCATATAAGCAGCAAAGGGTAAGCCCATAAGACCAGCATTTTGAGCAATGCCATGAACATGATACTCGTATCTGTTCGCATGGCCTGACCAGGTGCCTGGCTGTCTTTCTGCCTGTCTGCTTGCATGTCAACCTGCGGTTACCTGCCAGCATGCCCGCCAGGCTGGCTGCCTCCCCACTCCCCTGGCCCCTGCCCCCTGCCCCCCCCCCCCCCCCCCCCCCCCCCCCCCCCCCCCCCCCCCCCCCCCCCCCCCCCCCCCCCCCCCCACCCTCATCATACCGGCCACTTTGCCGGCCCACCTGCCTCACCGCCCACTTGCATGGCTACCTGACAGTGTCTGCGTGCCTCTGGTACAGGTTCTGTTCTGCACCATGGACTGGAGGAACACTCAACATGATCCTTATGCCAACAAAAGGAAAGCCAAGACACTCTCCGTGGCTGAAAGCATTCGACTGCAGAATCAGAATCTTCGCCCAAGAAAGTCAAAGGCGACATGTCTCCACTTGTGGCGTCGCGGAGCCGCAGCGAAGAAGACACCTTTCAGATCCTGCAGCAAGCCGCAGCTTCTGGCAGCCGCCAACTTGACGACGGCAAAGTTACGGTTTTCCAGCGTGAAACCGATCTCTTTCCCACGGCCTCATCCATCGGCAGCCGCTTCTCCGTCTGCTGCGCAGAATGACAACCATCTCCACTGCATCTCTGGCGACAAGAAAATGGTCATCAATAACAGTTGCGTCATCAATAAGAGTTGTGTGAAGGGTGAGGTTGGTGCCAAAGTACAGGGGAGGATAGGAGGAAATTCACAGCAGCTTCAGTCACTTTGCCGGCAAGATGGTGGTTTCGCTCTGAAGGGTTCACACTGTCAGGAGGAGAATGCCCGTGCCCGTGGATGCTGCCAGGCCGGCGGCAAAGTTGACGTGAAAAGTCAAAAGCAGCCCGACTTTGGCGACGGAAACGAACCTGGCAGTGTTGTGAAAGGAGGAAGTCAACTTGAAGGAGTCCGACCGGGTTCTTTCATATCAAATGCTGCCACGTGTCAACACATGCTAACATCACGTCGGCGGGTGGTGGTCCCTCAAGTGCGTGCAGACACAGCCGGGAGGAATCTCACACAAGCTCCCTGTGCCAAGGTGGAGAGAGAGGGAGGTGGTACAGTCTGTGTGAAGACCCCTGATGGCTTGCAACTCTTGCGAGTATGCCCTTCGTCCCATGCACCAGATGAGCGTAATTGTCCCAGGAAGAGGGTCATTGATTGCGCAAATGGACCTGCTGGGATCTTGTGCGGAGAGTTGTGCGAGGAGATGACCAATGACACTCCTGACACTGTGCAGTTGAAGAGAAGCAGGCAGGATTCACACAATGTCAAATTGAATCTAAAAAAACGGCAAACGGTATACTTGCCGGATGAGGAGAGCCATAAGCTGCTACAAGAACAGACCTGTCATCCGAAGAAATTGCAGAGTATGCACAGCAGTCCGGACAGGAGTGGCAATTCGGCAACTGGAGAGGTGCAGTTTGCTGTTAACGACAATAACTCGCACGATCCAATCTCTGTCAAGCAGACCGAAGTCAAACAGAGTGTAGCGAAGTCCGGGAGCAGACGTGAGGAGCAAAGCTGCGTCGTAGTATGCGCTGAGTCCCTTGCGAAACTGACGCATCAGGAGACGGCGGATGTTACGTCGAGTTCTACTAGGAGCGGCGTCATGCGTCGAACTGACCCTGGGAGTCGATCGACAGGCGCCATCCGGTCTATCATCTGGCCTGGTTTTACCTGGAAGCAACTGAAGGAGTTTTTTCCATGTGCCTATTGCAGGATTGAGAGAGACGAGTGGATGGAGGACGTAATCGAAGAGAATCGGTTGCGGATGGAGGCAGAAAAAGCCTGCCTTTCCTGCCATGAGCTGTGGAGGATGGTGAGAAATGGACACACTGTAGTGAGAATGCTGAATGAGCGAAACATCTGGCTTCGACATGGGGTGGGGCGCAAAAAGGGAATCGGGATCGGTAGCAAGTTCTGCAATCGGCAGGAGTTGTGTGCGGCTGGCCTTCATCACAATCACGAAGCTGGCATTTGCACAAAGGAGGTCTTGGCTGGATACAAGACGTTCACTGCAGCAGTATCTATCGTGTACGCGAGGACTCGCAAGTATGCAGACGATCAGAATGATGGAGGCGACATCATCAAGTACGAAGGGGAACGCGAGGACAAACGTGAATTTTCTGTGATCCGGCAGATGAAGAGCGTCGCAAATCAGGCAATGGCAATGAGCCAAGTCTACGACATCCCCGTTCGCGTCATCAGTAAAGAGAAGGATGGTAATATGTACACGTACGATGGCCTCTACAAAGTTTTCGATCATTACGAGCATCGAGGGGAAAGGGGGACCACCTTGATGTTTGAACTGAGACGTGTCCGAAATAAGAAAGATTTGAAGCCTTTCGAAAGCTATTGAATACCGACCGTCTTCGCCCAAATAGAAAGTGATGGTCTTTCACTTTGTATGATAACTTTTTTCAAGAGGGGTTTCCCGCTTATATGCTTTCAGCGGTTCTCCCATACCAACGTTCGGTCAATATCATCATGATGGCATGTGGACTGGAAGTCGGCCCAGGTACTGCCTGCTATAATGGTGACCGGGGGTTCTATTTGGGTGACGGGCGGCACAAATGAGGGCGGCCGAAGAGAAAACATGATTTTCCCAACCGCACAGGGCCTCAACCGCCCAGGGAAGATGGTCACACAGAGCTGCATGGAATCTGCCACAGCTGCCATTGATCTGGAGCCAGATTGGGAAGAGGAAAGCTGTGCAGCTGCCCTGCTGTCGGTGGAGAGTAGGGTGGTGTTGGTATGGACGGCTGCTGTGCAGCGATCCTAGTTGGGGCAAACTGATGGTCCACCAGTGCACCATAGCTCACCCTCCTCCTGGTTCGACAATGTACACCCCATCAGCACGGCAAGCTCGTGATGATGCGCCATAGATTTCTGTCTTTCCTCTCTTTTCCCCTCCCCTCCCCTCCCCATCTGTCCCCCTCCCTCTCCCATCCCCGTGCCGACTGTCGTGGAGCGCTACAACAGTGGCGATTTCGAGGGGGACACTTTTCCCCTTTAAATTCCTGTTTTAGTACAGTTTTACCCATTCTCAGACCCAGAACCCTCTAATTCTCTGTCTGAATTTCAGCCTTGAAAGGGCTTTCATTGGGTTGTCCTTTTCCTTGTGCACTGAGGCCATAGTCACCCTTTAGACTGAGAAACTTGAAAACTATGTAGTCTCACCCTTTAGACTAAATTGAAAGCTATATAGTATATAGTCACCCTTTAGACCGAAAATTTTGACAGCTGTATAGTCTCACCTTTTAGACTTAAAAACTGAAAGCTATATACTATATAGTATATAGTCACCCTTTAGACTGAAATTTTGAAGGCTACAGATGCAAGATATAATCCCTGAGGTGGTTACACGGACGTAGATGATACGTCCAAGATGCACTGTCGCCGACCTCTCTTGATCGTATGTGGCTGTCGTAAAGAGACCACATACATCCATACATTTAGAATATCCTGCTGTGACCATCCCTTCGGTCATGCATTGAATCTGGTCTCTTTCTCCACTTCCGACCCTTAGACTCTTCAGCTTGTTGTGCTGTCTCTCTCCTCACCAGCATCTCTTCCCTGGCCCATCCTTTCTGTTTTGTTTTTTTTTTCCTCAGAAAAAGTCACTGTGCTGTTAACTGGGTCCAGCGTCCCTTGCCTCTGACTAAGGGCCTCGCTGCACTACTCTCGAAATGTGCAAAACGAGAGTGAATCTTCCGCTAGAACGTGGAAAGATACAGCGACATGATTTTTGTCTTTTGTGCATTTCATGAGTAGTGCAGCTACGCCCTAACTGAGATTAAAAAACTGGGGGTCGGCCTCTTCATCCATCTCGCCAGAACTTTCACAGAAAGCTAGCAGCCCATCCTTTTGTTTTCTTTCCCGGTTTTCTGTTCCCCTCCTTTGTGTCTCTTTATCAACGCGTTTTCCTCTTTGAATTGCCTTCTGGCTCATTCCAAAGACATTGGGCCTCGCTGCACTACTCTCGAAATGTGGAAAACGAGAGTATCTTCCGCTAGAATATGGAAAGATACACCGCCATGATTTTTGTCTGTTGTGCATGTCGAGAGTAGTGCAGCGAGGCCCATTTTTGCGAAAACTTTCTGTGCTTCTCCCATCCATCTTGTTCTTTTTGCTCAGTGCATGCCGCACACTTGGAGCCGGATATTTGTAGACTGCTTTTCTATCTGATTTGTGGGTCAGATACGTCCTACAAAGCCTTTTAGGCTTTAGCATTTTCCTCTCGGAATTCGCCATCTGGCTCATTCAAAAGACTGGTTTGGGCATCGGAGTTTTTGTCAACCTTCTGTGCTTCTCCCATCCATCTTGTTTTTCTGCGTAGCGCATGCTGCACACTCAAAGCACGATCTTTCTTTACTGCTTTTCTATCTGATTGTGGGTCAAATACATCCCAGAAAGTCTTACGCTTTTCTATCTGATTGTGGGTCAGATACATCTCAGAAAGTCTTAGCGTTTTGGTCTTTGAATTTGCCTTCTGGGGTATTCAAAAGACTTTTTTCTGGAGGAGTGTCACTTGGAACTAAACTTCCGTTGAATTCCCGTTGAATCCCGTTGAATTCCCGCTGAATTCCCGCTGAATCCCCGTTGAATCCCCGTTGAATCCCCGTTGAATCCCCTTTGAATCCCCGTTGAATCCAAAACGGGTGGCCTCCTTGTGTTTTTTTTATCTTTTTCTTCCACGGACAAGGTCCACGGGGGCTCGGGTGCACGGCCCAGCACCCCCACGTGATTAAAAAAAATAAAAATAACAATAAAAATCACACCCCCCCCAGCCCCCAAATGCCCCCCACGCCCACCGCCCCTGCTTGTGTGTGCACGTGTGTGTGTGCACGTGTGTGTGTGCACGTGTGTGTGTGCACGTGTATGTGTGCACGTGTGTGTGTGTGTGTGTGTGCGCGCGTGCGTGTGTGTTGGTGAAGGGGGAGGAGTCTGTGTGTGTGTGT